CAGTGCATACTTCTTAATCATAAATTGATAGAATTTTTATTCGGTAACACAGATCGTAGAAGATGTGACGGCTTTCTCCGTGAGCTGCAGTTAACTATTTAACCCGTTGAAGTAGAGTCACTTGTAGTTCTAGTACCTGCATTGACCTATTAATAACATGTCGCTCCAAGTACATCAACGTCATTAGTGATAGTGCCAAAGCACAAGTGATTATGGTACTCTTCAGCAGGTAGAATAATGCTAATTTTAAAGTTCTCCAAGGGCCTCGAATATTAAAATAAAAAAGATACAGTTGCCTCGTTTTTCAGCAGACATGTTTTAGATGAATAAAATTATTGCCGTTGCTGCCGTGGTGTTACAATGGTTGGAGTAGGTAATGGTCTCCCAGACAGTTGAGGCAGACGAGGAACAATGTGAGATCATGAATAAACAACCAGATATGCCAAACCAGGAACAATGTGACATCATGAATAAATGAACAGATTTGCTAAAGCTTGAATGTGACCACATAACTCAAAGTACACGCACACAGAAAACAATCCAGGCAGTACCAATTACCTGCTGGCTGCAAAATGCATTACAAGACAGCTACGTGACCAAGCTAATGATTTGGCTAAACTTTGGAAAAAGAATGACAAGGACGCTATTTCGACACCCCATTTCATCAAGGAACAGGCACGGAAAGTGAACCCGTCTACTGCAACAGGGCTAGATGGAATATCTTCGCACAAACTTCGAACTTCTATTTGTCTTTCAGGGAACTATATCATTTATAAATCTTCATCGGAAGATGTCGGTCTCCCTCCCGTACATTTCTTTTAGAATGTCGTGGAGTCTGTGAGGTTTAAGTTAAAAGCACGTTTTGAAATTTCGCCCCATCACACCACCATACGTTCTAAATCAGATTGAATTTTTGGGTCACAGACTTTTCCCAATGTTCCCTCCCAGACCAGTGCTACCAAGCTTACTTTTCAGTGTCTGTCGTGACTCCAGGATGAAACAAGTTACTCACATCCTGGAGACTGGTCAAGCCTTTAGATTTTTGCAACATTTGCTCTTACTTAGTGCACTTTCTTGCTGAAAATTCGTGTTGTTCTTACTTTCTGTGATCTTATCTAAATATACCTTTTACCTTAAGTTTCCCGGCATTTTTTGTCGTTTTTATTGAAATTCCTCCTGTTGCTAATTGATTCTACCTGTATTAAGATAACCGTAATATTCCTTTCATAATACTGCGATGGTTTCGTGTTATTTTTTGTTTTCAATAGTTTTACATTTTTAAAAATTTTGGTTAGTACTTTTTATCACTCGAGTACATGTATTTTCTTTTATATTTGTGTTTTATTTTAATTTTAATTCTTTTCTGTAATTCTACTCTTTTCACAGCATGTTTATCATATTTCACATTGGTTTCATTTGTTTCTCGTCAAAGCAAATTTAGTAATTTCTGTTCCGAATGAAACCTGGGTCCAGGGGCGTTGTGAAGACCTTTTTTTTGGGGGGGGGGTGTATGCCAGAGTCAATCTCCGAATTGTAACTTGTTCTCCAACCACGTGTCGTGTAAAATTCACAAAGCACGGAGGGGACGTACATGTATATTGAGTTGTTTCCACCTGCGTCCGCGTGGAAAATGGAAATCCGTGGTACACTACATGCCGACGGCCAACGTATCTCTTTTATGTACCAATTGCCGACCGAAGATCTATTTGGAGACTGGAATTAATTGTTGTGGGTATCGCACCCCCCCCCCACACACGTATAAGTGTGTATTTGCCTGCAACTGGGGACCCCCTATTGTTCCTCTTTTGTTTGTATCCATATGTTTTGTACACAGTTGCCAATCGGGGACCCTCTGTCAATCGGGGACCTTATTGTCCTCTATTGTTCAGGGTCCCCAAATGAATGCAGAAACAAACTCATCCACACACCCGGTTGCTACGCCCCTGTCCGGGTCCTTACACCTTTCCGAATATGAAAATCAGATAACGTTGAAGAAATTCAATGTTCACATTCAGATTCATTGTTTGCCGAAAGAGTGCCAAATCGCACGGCACGGCGTTTCTTAGGTTGCATGACTAGGCCCACACACTGTCAGGACCTTTTGCATTTATTTGCCCTAAACATTTTGAGGACATGAATCGACAGCCAGGAGGGGGTAGACAATGCCACCCTGTGAATTTCAAAGGTAAAACCATCTAGTTCTCATTTCTGCAAGACCACATCTTGATTAATTTAGCCACCTAATGAAGGATTCATTACTGGTTGAGTGTGCATCGCATCCGCCAAGGTCGACCACAACCACGGCGGCCGCTTGGCCAATTTTGTCGGGTAATCACGCGGCGAGGAAATTGCAAGTGACTGTAATACGCTGCATGCGGACGCAGCGAATAACACTCCCCACACCGGTAATCCTCGACTAGTGAAACATAATTTGATCGGGCCGCAGCTGTCTAACTTGAGTAATTGCGAAGTTTAAAGGTAAACAATCTCTTGTTGCAGTCATCCAAAAGGTAACAGACAATATTGCTGTTTAAAAGTGCACCTCCACGGTTTAAAGATGGTTAAGGGACTGTCAGTGAAGTTATCCTTTCTGGCAAGCTTTCATTTTCATTGGAGAAAACAATGAAAGAATCCCATTGGTACGATGCGTCTTTTGGAAAACTGCCATGACAAGTGTACGCCAAAGAACGTGTTCAAGACGCTGAAGTCAAGCGCAACTCAAAACGTAGCTGGTTCCCTGACATGAAGGTTGAATGATGACACTTGATGAAATCCTAATAAAATAAACGTTTCTCATCTCTGCGGGATTTTTCCCGTTTAATTCCGTGCACACAGGAATGAATCACAATTGTAAAGTGCTTTTACGGAGTACTAAAATCCCACTGAACTAATAGAAAAAAAAGTTTTAATGAGATTTTCTGAGAAAAATTTGAACAATGCCAGAAAACATGAGAGAAAATGATCAAAATCGTACCACTGTACATTTCAATGGCCCTTGCCGCCAAGGCCATGCGTGCATAATTAGGAATTTCTTAGTGAACAGGTTTATTTTGTTGCCTCAAAGGAACATAATGTACAAATGACAAATGGCGGACTTCACCTTCAAACTAAAACTTACACCAAGTTGTTGATTAACCGTGCATGTCTCGCGCAGTTTGTGGTATGGAGTCGCATCTTTACAAGCCATGCGAGGTGGTTATCTGACGATTCGCCCTGCACCGACTACCATGTACATCAATTTTTAATGCTTAAATAATTCAGAAAAATAAATGGCACTTCACGCTCTTTCCCCTAGAATTCCCCGATACCCATTTACAACAGAGCAAACGCTGTAGTAAGCTTTTCGCTTTCTGTGTAGTTCCTCACCGCGTATTTGTTTCGCTTCGTTTCAAAAAAGCCATTTATCTAACGGGACACAGATCATATTTTATTGATGCCATTAATTTCTGTGGTTTTAATCTTTCACCAAGAGCCTGTTTGTTGCCTGTGGTTTTGTACGCTCACGTCAGTGATGTTCCCTTCTTACGCCTCGGTACGAGATAGATTCGATGTATCCTCCAAGCTTCCGTTTGGACGTTCAGTTCTCTTGAAGCGGTAAATAAGGGCGGAAAAATAACGGAAAATAGGTGTAACGTTTGGTTGCATGAATGTACATGTACGCTTGTGGAAACAGCCTTGTGAAACGAAATGAACGAACAGAGAGGAAACTGTAAATTACAACATTGGGCAAGGGCAGAGGTGACTGTTAAAAGATTTGAAATGAACAGGAAAAGCACTATCAACCCTATTAGGGCATTGGGTTGGCTTCAGTGGTACTGTCCTTGCCTTCCTTGAGGCTGTGTCTTGGTATAGGTTCGGTTCCTGTCCGGGTAACTTATGATTTCATTGTTTTCTTTCCACCTGGCGTCGTATTCTGCTTTTGATAACCATATTCCTGCGGCTCCCCTCTGCTAAAAATGAACATATCGTTGTGTCTTCCTCAGGTCATTGTGCTGATTTTCTCTTTTTTAGCACTCTGGGTTGCAGCTTCAACTAGTTCCATCTTAAATAAGAAGGGATAGAGATACGGCCTGTGTCTCTTCCGTACACCTAACCTTTATATTGACGAGTGTTCAAAAGCTAGCTTAGAATCAGAAGTTGACTCAGATTTTTAAACAAAGTTTGTTGGCATTGACATAAAAAGAAGCACCTTTGAAAGCAGAAAACAAAAGTTTGTTTTTCAAACGAGATTGAAGTTACACAATAAAAAATGTGTCAAATATAAGCCTTACATTATGTCTGTGACTATATTATCATTCTTCCTCTCAAACCGATGTCGTATATTTTGTGTCTAGCATATACGCACGATATGCCTACTGTCGTATTAGTAAAACCTGCACCGTAATGCCAGAAAATCCAGAGGCGTAGAGGGAGTTAGGGACCCAGTCCACCCTAAGCTGTACAGAAAGAGAGAGAGAGTAGCGCCAACTTCAGATTTTGGAACCAAAATGGCGGCGCATTACGTGTGTAGTACAGTACGCAGCTGTTACGTGTTATTATTGCCCATTTGCACTGACACATAATCCGCCATTTGGTTCCAACATTTGAGACACTTACGTCGCTACTATCCTTAAACGGCACTGAGTCCACCCTGCATGCTGAAAGCTTATGTCTGCCTTGTGCTTCTGTGAAGCCTTTCCATTTAAAGGTTTACCAAGACGAACTCGGTACTTATCAAAAATGAGTCACAATTTTCTCCGGCGTATTTGACCTAAACTGACGTCTCAGGAATGTTTCATTGACAGAAAAACGACTCGAATCGTCAACCTTTTTTGAATAAGGCTGCGCGTATTGTTTTTTGGGCACTCAAAATTTTTGTTTAAATTTTGTCTGGATAAGGATAAAGCAGTATATACTTTAAAAGGTTAAAAGTCCTGAATAACAACCCGCATAAGTGAGTAAATTAACGCTTATTAAATTGACAGGCTGGATTTCTGTTCTTGTTACCTTTTCTACGGCAGTGCGAGGCCGGCTTGGGCACCCGTGTGTTTTTTGATCAGCTTTATCGCGAGCCGCAGAAGATCATGATCCTGGGCCCAGCGTGCTCAACCGCCACTCAAGCCGTGGCCGAGACGGCCTACTACTGGAATCTAGTCACGGTGAGTTGTCAGTTGACAATAATGTTCCAAAGTGAGTAAAGGGAATGTTGGGGGAAGGAAACCGAAGAGATCTTGGCCTGCGTGAAACCTCTGGCAGTAGTTGGCATGGAACGCACGGCGTAAAATTAAATGCGGAACTTGTCTTGCAAAATGTATTGGTTTATATTAATGTCACTTGCCGAGATTCATCTCTGACATTTAATCGTAAGGATTGGATACCGGAGACACGAAAATACAAATGTATTAGTTGAGGTACAGCCACTAACCAATTTCGTTGTTTAAGGCCACTTCTAATAAAAACGGTTTCTCGTCCTTTCTTGAGAAAAGATCGAGAGGTCCTTTCTACCAAGATGACCAATTTTCTTAGATGGGGTTGAATTCCTGCGATTTTTCATACTCCTTTGTATCTGACACTCTCGCCGAACGGCACTATATTCTGATCATAACGGGTTTTAAATTGGACAAATCGTTTAATATAAACCAGAAGAACGGGCATAATACTTATTCATTCATTGGAGAGATAAACAAAGGAATAGAGTGGAGCAGGTCTTGAACCGACACACAGTGGTACGTATTCTGTTTACAGCGAAATTTCGTTTGTAAAAGCTGAACTGAAAAGGAATGGAAGTGGAGAGAGACGAGAAATTTGTTTACTTGGCCTGACTCTCAGACTTGGAGAATAAGCATGTATTCCAAACACCTCAAAACACAAGGATATCGCCACCAAGTCTTTAGTGAACACTGCACGTTAATCCACATGCCACACGTGACTCACAAGTCATGAGTAACTCCCAGATAATTATAATGTAAAATGTCCGTGTTGGGAGCCCGGTAAAGAAACATAAGGATTTTGTCTTTTAGAAAGCCTTATCGTCACTCACATAATTGCCAATCATTTCTTGTGAGCATAGGCATAAACATGAGAAACATAGCGCTGTCCAGAGTATAATTCAAAGGGGGGACGCACTTGAAAACTTTGACTCCTTTGATGGTTTCTTGATCATTTTAAAAATAGAATGCAAATCCTTGGCTTCAGACAGTTGATATTTTTCAAGCGTAACTTCCCTTAGACCGCATTTTAACGTTTTCCTGTACGATGTTTTTCAAACAAAGTCCTAAATCCACTGTCCCTTTGATTTGCGCGTGAAATGAGTTTGATTTTGTGCACATTATGTTGCAACTGTATGATATGCATAGCGTCGTCGTATCTATACCGCATCAATCCGTCATGGTTTCCGACTGACGACAACGTCTCGCAAGTCAGATATCTTCTCGCGACTTGTTAAACAGACCCTCAAACATAAAAATACGTAGCTTTTTCTTGTTTTATCCTCTTCTATAGGTTTCCACTACATATGTTTTAGCCCCTTAAATAGCATTTGGATGTTAAGAAGTGAAATGTATAAAATACCAACAGAAAATTCTCTAACCCGTCCACTCCCCTCCCCCCCGGTCCGACGCGAGTGATGCGCTTTTCGCTTCTCCACGACCGTGGCAAGAGCTTTGGCAGATGTATAGTGTCGTTACGACGGGATTTCTGCACACCATGCAGGCTTTTCACCTGTTTCCTTATTTTACTTCAAAATCTGCAAGGAAGAAAACAACCTGCAGGGGGTCGTCTTGTCTTTCCTGCTTGGAATTTTTCCCTTGAGTCGAGTAAAGCGTCCGAAAAATCAATGCCTCACTGAAGAAGCTGGGAAAATTCACAGCGCAAGGCCTGCATGACTTATGTGTTCTAGATTGATTTAAGACGAAATTAACTTGCACATCTTGGGGGGGGGTGGATTTGTTTTCTTCGGCAACCGGCGTTATTATGTTTGACATCGATTGTTTATCATTTGATGTTTTCTAGTAATCATGTTATACATTAAATTGAATTCGCACTGACTGAAACGGAAGCTGTATACCTCAATAAAAGTGCAAAAGTCAAAATATTGATTCTCCTATCGTTAAAATATGAATTTAAACTTTTTTTAGTATTCCCACGTTTTATCATCACAGAATATGATAATTGTGGTGGTTTTTGCCTGCGAATCTTACGGCTCAAGCAAAGGAAAAATCAGTAGCACCGGTCCAGTATGATCAGTTGCTCGGGCAATTTCTCTCTGACGTCTAATCCGTCCACAAATACCTAAAATGACAATGAGTTGAAATATCAGCTGGTGTATTGGATGCATGGAGGTGAAACCCCTTCTCTTGAGTTGGTTCAAAGTCTTTGTTCTAGTTCCCAGGGAGCAGAAAAAGGACGTGGACCTCAAAGTGTTTCAGGGAGCAATTGCTCTAGACCATTCAAGCGTGGCATGCCTTGGGCACGCACTGATCAATAAACATTGGGATCCATCACCGGTTTGATCAGCAAAGTGGCCTTTTAATTAAGCTTCCGCTAAGAAAACCTTGGCCCAACCTACCTGAAAAAAAGTTCGCGTTATTAACATGTGTAACTCAATGACACCTTTATGCAGATGTCGTATGCGGCCGCCTCGTCTGCGTTGTCCAACCGCAAGAAGTTCCCCTTCTTCTATCGGACGTACATGCCGGATGCCATGTATAATCCCGCGAGAATACGTCTGATGCGAGAGTACGGATGGAAACGGGTGGCCACAATCCACGAGAACCACGAACTCTTTTCCCTGGTGAGAATCAACCAATTCCAGTCTCTTCCCCAACTCAAATCCAATCAAACCAAATTTAATCAATTCTTCCCACAGCTAACCAATTCAGCTACAGTGAATCAACCCGGGTGAAAAAACCTGTTAGCCGCAACACAAGCAATCCGAACCTTACTAGTTCAATCCGGCCCAAACCAAGCCTAAACGTGGTGCAGCCGAGGGAAAGCTCCGTCAAGTGTTACAATGAGTAAAAATGCAGACATTTTGGATATGGAAGATTCATTAGTGTTGAGCCTTTAGGGTATCTTTGAACTGAGAAAATACAATTAAGATTGCCTTCGCAAACACTATGAAATGAAACATGAATAAACATGTTATTGGATGTTACTCGCTGTTCTTGGAAACAAGTGATTGATTTTCGTCGTAAGTTTCTCACAAAAGAGATCATCGGGGCAAAAAGTGGAAATAACAGGCACGCAGAAATCAATATCAACAAGGCCTTGTACGTAGATTGGGCCCTAGTTGCTGAAATTGAGGTTTGGAAATTCAAAAGGTCAATCAAAAGTTAAAGTTCAGTCCTTTGCATCTCAGCCGAAGCGTGAATTATTTTGTCCTTGTTTTAAAAGGCTATTGACAACTTGTTGACATTGTTGAAAGAGGCAAACATCACCATCATCTCGTCCGAGAGTTTCTCTGAAGATCCCCAAAACCAGATTGAGAATTTGAAGGTAACAAGCTTTGCTTGTGTATGAGTGTTAACAGAATTGTACAGGCAATTTCCAATACATGCAGTTGTATATTTAGAAGAATCTGAAACAACAAGAAACATTGTTTCATTTAATTTTGCATTTATAGATAGGCTTTCCATCAGTCATCAAAGTAGGATAGGTGTTGTCCAAAATGTACTCATATACCCTGCAAGGAATTAAATGAGTAGGCTCTACGTGTCCTTGTTCAATGTACACACGTTTTAATGGACACGAAATATGTGAATATTTCCCGCACTGAATAGAAATTTCTACTTAATGAGGCATTGGAACTTAGGCTGGAGGATTTCCTATGATGGGGGAAGACTGTGCTTTCTTTGAAGAGAACAAAGACAACCAATAGCACTATAATGATCGGCCATCCTTAGCGAAACGCCAAGAATTGGTTTGATATAACCAGTGTAGCTTGACTGGTTAAAAGAGCCAAATAGTTCTTTTTGGATTGTTTGATCTCAGAACCAGGATGCTAAGATTATTATCGGGAACATGTATGAAGACAAGGCCAGACGGGTTTTCTGTGAGGTAAGCTGTCTCTTTGTCTTTTTGGCAATTTATTTTGCCTTAATTTTCACCAGTGCGTGGAGCACACTATTTCTCTGGACTACTTCCCCCAGAAAGCTGAAAAGGGGAAAAAAGATGATCTCTTTTGCCCAGTATTGGGTGCATTTTTAAAAAATATTTTGAAAAGTGAACATTTCAAACCCTTCCCCTAGCGAACGATAATTATGCTCGTGATTAATGTTGAAGAAAAATGGAGGACCCGCATGTTTGATGATCCTGACGCAATGCCTTTCCGAATATGCAAAACATGCATGTATAATGCAGCGACAATACCTGGAATTATGAGGGGAACACAATTTTTAGAGATGGCATATGACAGATATAAACCCGGCCCCCTGGGAGAGACTGAAAAAATCCCACTTCTTTCTTCAATGTGCCTAGCCAGACTGGTAAATCCCATGTCAAATGGATGCAGTGTAGACTTTTCCTTTGTTTACATTATCATCGACCGCCATTTTTTTGCATGAGCAGCCAAGCTTTGCTGGAGCTTTATTGTTTGTCTCAAGATGCATATTAAAAAATATTAACAGTGTCGTGGGAGACATTTTCTGTAAGCATTTTGTAGATGTATTCATTATCGAGTGTTTTGATAGGCCTATTTACATAATTTTTAAATTCTGTAAATTGTACTGGGCTTGGTTTGTACCCTTGACCAGCCACAGTTTAGCAGGTTAGCAAAATCCCTATTGTGACGTGGGCAGAGGAAAGTTCAATGAACTTTTCAATGCCTAATTTTTTTAGCGTTAATCAGATCTGAAGATTCGCTGTAATAATAACTGTACTTTGTGCAATGTGTTAAGTAGGCCTACGCATATTTCTGCTGGTATATCAGTGGTGTTGTTTGACCTGGAAAGCCAGTGGAAATACAACAGTAAGATTTGGTAATAACAGGGATAATGGAGGCTGCATTTGGAAGCTGACTAATCAGCTGACTTTCGATTTGTGTATGCAGTATTATTTGCATCAATACTGGGCTATGTCCTTCACAGTTGGATGGATATTACCATCGCCAACCATGACGGGAAGGAAACTTTAATATTTTGACAAGTTTGGTTTGTTTCTAGATGCCTGAGAGATCAGAGCTTCTGAATTTACACTTTATAATACTCGTTGCTACCGCTGCCTTACTGTTCCGTGATTGGCCTATAGCCTACGCACGTAGAAGTAGAATATAGTACGTGCTTGAACACTGGTGGATATTGAAATGATAATGCGGCAGTATACTTTGACAGTTCAAAACATCAATGGCGGGGCTTACTATGAATCGGTCTATTTGTGTGGCTTTGAGTTTCTGTCTTCCTGATGTACTCAGGCCTACCGGCACGGTATGACAGGAGCCGACCATGTGTGGATGATCATCGGTTGGTACCGCGAGAATTGGTGGATGGACAAGGATCCGAACATTAAATGCTCTGCCCTAGAGATGAAACTTGCCGTAGAGGGCGTGCAGTACTTCTCCACGGAGAGTCTACAGCTGAGCACGTCGACAGAGCCGACCATTGCTGGTATAGTAAGTTACTTTGCCATGTGACCCTTTTTCCACATCTTCTTATGAAAAACTGTTGCAATAGATGTGTCAGGAGCTCAAAGTATTCTGCGTTACAATATAAAAATTAACAGTCACCGACACCTCGCTATTCGCTGCAGTTGTCATGGTTGCGATAGCAGTATGACTGATTTACCCACATGGCTATTGATTATTGTCATAAGGAAATTGTTGGACAAAAATTCCTGTCATTAAAGCTGCAAAACACGAACAAAGTCGGGTCTTGAGTTTGTTTGCTGTCCTCCAAAGCAGATACGAAATTCCTATGTGATTTATATCCCCATCCAAGCCATTTATTCCGAGGCTGACCTCCCTGATTAAAACCCACCGTTGTCCACTGTCCAGGATGGGGGCCGAAACGTACCAATTAGGTCTGACTTGTGATACAAACGAGGTAGCTTGCGTCAGTCATGCATGCTCCAACCTTCTCTGTTTAATTAGACACCGGCTGAGTACCAGTCATTGCTTCGCAATCGCATGGAATGGCCGGAGAATCGCGGGTACACTTGGAACAGCCTTTCTCCCTACGGCTACGACGCTGTCTGGGCCATCGCTCTCGCTTTGAACAAGTCTGTGGAAGTTCTCAAGTCGGAAAGGTATTTTTGAATTGGCCACTAAAAGGCTAGGCATTTTACAGAAGGTGATAAAAATTGTTTAAGTACATAGGGGAGATACGTGATAAATAGTCCGGCATCAAACTCTTTACAGCTAGGAGAGGAAGAACCCTATAATGTCTTCCAAAATCCTGCCAAGGAAACACACTGGAAGTGAAAAACCACAGCCATCACACTGTTTTAAAAAATCATTTCCAAGTTTTACTTTCCTGATCAAAACTACAGTGAACAAAACTAGAACAAATGTTCGTAATGTTTGCGGAGAATTCTAAGGAATGAGCTGCATCTACTGAATTCACCAGTGTGCAGGGCATTACGGCGTTGCTATCCATCTTTGTCAGTAAGGGTACTAATTGCTTGTAACACCGCTAATGAAAGGGTGCTAATTGCTTGTAACACCGCTAATGAAAGGGTACTAATTGCTTGTAACACCGCTAATGAAAGGGTGCTAATTGCTTGTAACACCGCTAATGAAAAGGTGCTAATTGCTTGTAACACCGCTAATGAAAGGGTGCTAATTGCTTGTAACACCGCTAATGAAAGGGTACTAATTGCTTGTAACACCGCTAATGAAAGGGTGCTAATTGCTTGTAACACCGCAAATGAAAGGGTGCTAATTGCTTGTAACACCGCTAATGAAGCCATTCCTTTGGGAATTCGATTGAGACACGGGAATCTTAAAACAACTAATTCTCTCTAACTAATATTCCATTGTTACCTCAACTTTATATTTTATATATATATATAAGCACAGCTTGATCAACGCTGCATTTAATGTGAAGACACTTCTTCTCAACACACAAAAATGTCAAATAGGCCTTAAAAATAAAAATTTAATCTATTACAATCAATCCTCTTGAATTAGTTGCGCCTTTTATTTAATCAGGACGGTATTTATTAAGAATAAGCCGTAGTATGCAGAACATTATCACGTTTACAATAATGATCGATGAGGTTCAGCTACTGAATTGAATTCCAGTGTGAAGACTGATACGTTACAGTACAACAGACTTATACGATGCTCGTAGACGTGAAAAGAGCAATGCAGAATTCCGGTACCGGTACGAAAACAATAACTTGTAATGCACGTAGACCTGAAAAGGGCAATTTGAAGGTCAAATTAGTTTGGCCATAAGACTCTAAAAACCTCTAAAAAAAATGAATCATCACGTATACAAATACCTTCCTGAATTGATTCATGAAGGCAAAAAGTCAAACGTCCCAAACTTCTTTCCGTGAATGTAACGGTTCGAAGTCATAAGCTGCATTGAAGACTAATGCGTCCCGGATGGAAAAGTTAAAAACTATCCTTCAAATACCTTTTCATCTTTTTTTTAACAAGAGTGACTTCAATCGAAGATGACCCGCTTTACTGCATTGTGGAACCTTTTAAATTTTATTATGTGAGTTTAGTGACACCAAATCCATTACCTTGACGTTAAATGCAAAATGGTCTCGTGCAAGTATAATAGTGTTCTGTGCGAGAAGATTGCCTCCACGAAAGAAGTTGTATAATTGCTCCATTTATCTGATGTTTAAGTTCAAGGACGGTGACAATAGGGACGTCATGCGACATGCCCGTTATTTTCTCGCCTGAGTTGACTGGCAATTTCTATGAATGTTTTGAAAACCTGGTTTTGTTACAATGTCACCCATTTTACCAGAACTTTTGATGACGATTATTTAAATCGAATTATCTCATTTTGAGGTATGGCAGACGCCTGGAAGACTTCACCTATGACGATCGTGAAATGGCAGAATTGTTCTTTAAACTCCTTAACGAGACAGAATTTACTGGTGTTTCCGTAAGTACTTTCAATAGTGCGAAATAATAAGTTCATGTTTTCAAGTACGGCCAAGTTATCCACGATGCCTCCCATGTCATATCAAAAGAGGGCAGCCTGCAAGCAACTGATGCTAAACTCAAGCCCAAATAGAATTCCATCCATGAAACCTAACCGAACCCAAATGATTTCTCACCCAAACATAACCCAACCAAACCCTAACCGACCCGATCCAAGTATCATACACTACGTTTTTAAGGTTTGCAAGGTGGACATAGCAGTGTGACGGAGGCAAACAGTAACGCCATCTGAAGAAAACTGATGGACTCTACTTCACTCACGGTTTCGGACAGTAGGCTATGTTCTGTCCACTCTCAGGAGGCACCTTATCCAGCTTTTGGTCCAAGCGTCCGTAGTTCTCTTTCTGTATGCAAACACCTGAACTCTCACAAAACAGACATTTTCGATGCGCCATATTCAACCATGCCCGTGTCATGGATGTGTTGGATGGTTTATCTCTAGTCAGCTGAAATTCATTACGCGAGAACAGTTACTCAGATGATCAGTCGACTCTGATCTAATACACATGACAATGGTAGAGGTTCCGCAAGAACGGACTCACCTGCATGTTACCATGAAGCTTGTAAAAAATATAAGTGAGGGAAAAGAACGTAATATACTTTTAACACAGGAGAACCTTGTTTATTGTACAGGGTCCAGTGGGATTCAAGGAGGGAGATCGAGTTGGTATAACGCAGATTGAGCAGTTACAAGGTGAGGCTTGCCTTTAAAACAAACTGTACTTCCAGTATATGTTTTAACTGAAGACAATGGGAATCATTGACGCCCCGCACCAGTGACATGTCGGTTCACCTTTTCTATTCGTTTTTGCTGGGGGGGGGAATTTGGTGAGTGTTGCCCCGTACATTTAGGACCCATTCATTGATAGTTCACGGGCTAACCGTGTACGGTCAAGCTTGTAGCTAGTCACAAAGTGGAACATTTTACCCGTTTCGGTTAAAATGACACGAATTACTAAGCCATGAAAAGACGGGCGGATCGAGGAACTTTTCCAGGGGGCCAGGCCGTTCATTTTTTTTGGTTATAACCGATCAATATGTGTAGGCTATAATCAATTTTCTGTGACCTATTACCCGTGTCCATTTTTGCCATCCCAGTTTGGGGGATGTTTGCAGTCCTAATTTTGCGTCTGTACATCTGCCTGCCGTCCCGACTTCGCAAAAATTGCTGTAGGCTCCCCAAGTTTGCTCTTATCAATTCCTCATCCCGTTGGGTTCCTCCAACCTGCACCCCGCTCGCTATATACTCTACTGTGGGTGCATGCGATAAGCATCCGTTTATATACTGCATTTGAAGACACTGGTAACCACAAAATATACGTTAGTCAAACCAAGCGACACTCTCATTCGCCTAGTATTGTGGGAAATTGTTAGGTCAAAGGCTAGGAGGTCATTTGATATTGGAATAATTTGTTATGAATGTCTTCGTTGCTTTCGAAACGTAAGGTGGCTACTATCTGGCTTCCTCTATTGCGCCTGCATCTCAGGGCTTCCTCCGATACCGGCTCGTTATAGCCAGCCAAGGCCGACTGATAGTCAACATCGGCAGAGACACCATATCGCGTGACGACTAAGCACACGCTCTCATGTAGCCTTATTTTATGAAATCACGTGGTTCTTTTTTGTGCTATTCTTGCATTATTCAGCTTCCTGCCCCGATGGTTGGCACCTCTATCTGTCCTCCTGCTTTCGGTTTGTCTCACAGCCTGTGCTTCCCTACGAGAGGGCCGGGAACTTCTGTGCTGCCTTCCGTCCAGATGCTGCTCTCGCTCACTTTGACAGCCAACTCGACCATGAATTCCTCATCAGTGAGTGGACCTCCAAACCGGAAGCCGCTCCAGACAAATGGTAAACTATGTCCGTATCATTGTTCAGCGTCATTTTGTTTTTGCTTGAGAAGTGTTGTTGCCTCTGAGCTGCTTTTTTGGCATTTATTTTACACTAGGCTGGTGTCTGTACTGCCGAAGGGAGCGAGTGAAGTGAACGCGTCCTGGATTCCCGCCGGCAGTTCACCACACGTCACCGAAGACGGTGCATGCGTTTACATGGACTTTGAAAAAGGCGGGATACTAGAGATAGCAGACTGTGACGCTCTGTTTCCATTTATATGCCGTGTCGCTGCAGGTACGAATAAAACAGGCACGTTCCTGTCAATTCATAACATTCCCTTCTCTGCCCATTGTACCCATCAGGTTCTGTATAAAAACCATGCATCAACATTATTGCAATTTAACAGACCGAATGACTGTTTGGTAATGCCTTGCGCAGGGTTGAACACAACTCTTTCTCCTTTTTAGGAAAATAGGACAGGATGGCAACGTCCACTCACCATGCAAGCGCGAAAGATATTCTGGTGTCGGCCAGTTTGAACTATAGCCGATAACCACAAAACTCTTTTTCCGATTGGGTGGAAATTTCCAATTTTGTTTACCGAGAGTGGGCTTTTAGAATGTCGAAAGAGTGTAGCCAACAGTCAATCTGCGGTCTGAAATACGTTTAGGAAAAGCTTTTGAAATATTCTACTGCAATTTGAGGAATACCGTACCAAGGCACGCCAGAGTCATTTTTATGTGTCACGTTGGCCACAGTGTTGAAGGACTTTAAGTCAATTTCACCAGTGGAAAGAAACCACTTTTATATTCAATGGGTCATAAACATTTTTCTTGATATTTTGTGAATTCGACTTCGGATTGTTGAATCAGATGTCTGAAAAATGCCAATTATATACTGTTGACACAGCGCTTTGGATACTTTGTAGTAGACCTTGGGCGCTGCGACGCCACACCAACAAACAACTGCCGCTGCCGGGCAACCAAAATATTTAGGAATCTTCTCATTTTTGGCCGGAGGGCTACATAAAATTCAGTGTTTGTTCAACATTCTAGACTACATTTCAGGAGACAGTGTCGGGCAGTGCACAAACTTGGTCTTGGTCAAACTTGCATGAAAGTTGGCTGCACGCAGGCACAAAACCTTGGCTTGGCCTTCCCGTTGCAAAATGGACGTTGCATGTACAAAATTGGGCTTTATGAAAGTAAGAAAATGATTCATTTCGAGAGTGCTTTTGTATATTCCGTTTTCACCATCGACCCTGTTTTGCTTCTATCGCAGTCCTGATTTTGCTTTTAAAAGCTGAAACTTGTAACATTTGTTTGCTCTGTGGCCTTGTGGCTACGCTACAGGCATCACGTGACCAGAGCGCCCAGTTTTGTAAGCAAAGGTGGCATGGTCTGTGAACAACAGTATACAAATATTGAGCGTTTCGAGTGGGTAAAGTGAAACTAGTCTCCCTCGGTGTTCCATGAAGCATTCTATTTTCCTTCGACGATAACGCAGTCAACATGAGTTTTATAACAATCGCTCACATATTCTGCTCAAGTTAAGCCAAAAATCAATAATAAAGACAAGAAAACTGAGCAGGGTGAACTGTTACACGCTCTTTACAGATTTTGCTGAGAGACAAGTTGCATTATACAGCGCCATGAATGACGACATAGAATGGCGAAGGGACATCGTTTGGCAAGGTAGGTGTCAAATGCCCACGACAATCAAGTGATATTCCACATTATGCAGTCATCCCCGACAGCCTCTAAAGGACAAAACTGACAACGTGGCAGTACAGTTGCTTCGAGAGACAGCGTGACTCAGTATCGTTGGATATCTTAATAACGTCAAGGGCAATGTTTCCCGATTGGAGAGTGCTCTGACGCATGCGCAACTTTGCAAACTGATAACTGACAACTGGACCCTTGAAATCGATATTTAAGGGGAACCAATTAATCCCTTAATAAAGTAAAAATTAGCACGTACACCTCGATCCTTCAATGGACGTGTAGTACATGAATTGAAGACAGTAGGCATATCGGTTGTAAATGATCGCACGCCATTTAACAGAGATATGACAATACATCATTACACAACGCTTGTTTAAAAGTAATATGATACAAGAAAAGATTTAATCTGTTGTTTAAGTATTGAGTGTCACAAGCATACAATACCATCACTTTATAGTTAATAGTAAATACCTCATTTTAGGGTTTCATCTCCATGCAATACGGGCGATTCACAATATTGCGCCTCGAAGAGTTTGCATTGTGTTAACCAATCACAGTGCGCGAAATCTGTCGACCCCTTCGAAACGCGCATTTGGTCGACAGATTTTGCGCACTGTGATTGGTCAGCGCGTTTCAAACTCTTGTAGGTGCACTATTGTGAAACGTCCCTACTAACCTTTTTTCCCATCGTTACTTAAAAAAATGTTTCGGAACGCACTGTATTTAAACGATTATTTCCGTTTCATGTCACTCATGAAGCCTCTCATTTATAAATATTATCGCTAAGAATGGGAATTGGGGGAATATCATATAGGCCCCTAAAATAATGACAATCCTCATTCACACAGTTCTAACGGGAGTCGCTCCCTTCCTTTAAAAATAACAATGAATGAAGAATAAGTTAACGGATTTCTTTGGGGCAGGTGACGGCCCTCCATTAGACCGACCACCGCAGATTGTTGTGGAGATCGTGAGGCGATACCAAGGAATATCCTCTGTACTCTATCTCTGCCTCTGCGGAGTAACAGCCGTCTGTATAATTTTGTCTCTTTTCTTTCTGGTTTTCAACGTGAAGTACCGGCAGCAAAGGTAAGAGTCACACCAGCAGGAAAATCCGATTCCTGCAAATTTTACTTTAACCACCCTGTATTAATGTCGCAGCAGCTTCGTGCTTGGAGCAGTGAGCAAGTTCCGTAAACTTTGTCATCCGTTCGTGAACTCGGTGCACCCGTGAAAGGTGGTGTTGAAGAAGCCGTGATCTCCAATCGAACTATGCTAAAAACAGAGAAACCAGCCAGGCTTAATTTCGTGTTTCATATTACGTGTTGCTTTCATGACGCCATTTCCCTTAGCATGTTAGAGTCATATTGACATTTTGTGCAACATTTTGTTTCTCTCCTAAGGCATGTGAAGATGTCGAGCCCTAATCTTAATAATCTCATCATTCTCGGTGCCGTCTTGGTGTACCTGTTCGTCGTCATCTCTGGGCTAGACACCAATATCATCTCAGAGGATCTTTTTGAAATAATGTGTTATGTAAGAATACTGAAATTGATGTTGTATTAGTTAAAATTCTCCAGGTGTAAACCAAGGATGGTATAGCGCCGCGAGGCGGCGCAAGATGGCGAACTTCACCGTAAATGCACGTAAAACGTTGTAATCGCATAGGCGCCATTTGAGCAAGCGATACGCCTGCGCAATGCACATTAATGCACAGGCGCAGGCGCCGCGGCAGGCACGTGCACCTGGTGAGCCTGCGCCCAAGCGTTACCGTAAACTGCGCAGGTGTATCGCTTGCTCAAATGGCGCCCATGGTAATTACATCTTTAAGGCAGAGTTATCCATCTTGCGCCTTCGGCGCTATACGATCTTTGGTGTAAACCAATGGATGCGTTCGATTAGCTTCCCTGAAAACACCAGTGTTACACTAAAAGGAAGCCTCAAAATGAGGCTTATCGAACGCTACAGTGTGTTTTCCAAGGCATTCTGGGAAAAAGGTCAAGTCCCCGCCACGTTCCATCATGTACGTCCATGCTCGAACAGTCCATCCGTGACGTCATTACACTCGGGCAGCCTCCAGAGACCCGCTCGCCAGCTGGGGTAGTGGTGGCTGACACCAGGGCAGGCACGAACATCACGTGATGGCTAAACGAACGCTCTGGTGTAAGTTTGACTTACACGTGTAAGCTAATCGAACGCATCCAAAGTGAGGAGACGCCATGATTGTGGTGGCACAGCACTCACAAGCACATTCTTCAGCTTGACGCGCGCGTGCAGTTAGCAACTCACGACATCCTATTGGTCGATCAGGCACGTAACACGCGCGTGCCGCCTGTCCACGAGCGTTGTGCCACTATACCAATACATTATTGCGCATCTATTAAAGCCCCTGCAGCTATTCCAGTTTTATTGTCTCGACAGATTATCCCAAGAGTCAGCAGTTGTGCAACCCACTTTATTGCATGGTTTTTATGAAATGTATTATGTGTTTTATTAAAGGACGTCGTTTGCAATACAAGACGATGTCCTGTTCTTGGTACTTGTTGCGTATTCCTAAATAGATTCTCGGACTACAGTTCTTCCCCTTTTGCTCCTGAAGGTGAAGACGTGGATTCTATCTATTGGCTTTGTGCTGGCGTTCGGGGCCATGTTCAGCAAGACTTGGCGGGTACATCGAGTTGCCGCCTTCAAAACTCCCAAACGTCGGGTAAGGACGGACATTGAGCGACATTTTCAGTGTTGTTAATGCTCCAACCATTGGCCTGGTGGGGGTAATATTTTGTTACCAAAATCAGTACCCGTTTTGAACTCAGACTATGGTTTGTATGAAAGCCATTTCAGGACTTCCCTGAGCTGGACTGAAATAGGTACATGTATGTGTTAAACTACATTCAGGAAACTCTATTTTGGATTCAAGTTGGATGGTACAAATAATTTGCGTTTATATGAATATTTCCTTGAAGAGAAAGATAAATTGTGCTCAACTCTTAGGAAAGTTTGGAAACAATTACTTTGTCAAATCGATTCCTGTTGAATATTGCCCATAGATTGGCATTCACGTCACACTTTGTGCCCATAGAATCGAATCAGGAGAAACTTTACTTCCAAGGTCCAGATTATAAACTAGTAACTCAATATTGTCCGCCTTTAGATCGTAACAGATAGACAGCTCTTTGTCATGGTCTTTGTTCTTCTCCTCGTTGACGTCATCATTCTGATAATGTGGCAAGTGATCGACCCCGTCAAGCTTCAATCAGAGGATCTCTACCAGCAGGTAAGCACGCACTCAGTAAATGATTTTGTCTGGTATAAGTGGAAAAATTACAGTATACCTGTGCCAAAGTGTGAGCAGAAAGTTCACTGTGGATGGCTTTTAAATACAAAGCCATGCATGCCGTTATTTGGTATGGCCCGGCAGGTTTGATTTACTGGGCAAGATGTCACTGCTTGTGAGTTCAATTAAAAGAAATTCTCGTGATTCGCACGTGTGCCACATTTGATAAAGGGCAGACAGATTTTTATGCAGCTCAAATGCTCGAATTTCAATAAATAAGACTAACGTTTGCCTCTATGCGTTATTTTCGAACAAATTCCATGGGACACTCCCAAAAAGTTTTAAGCCGAAGAGTCGGCAACGTTGTCGCACTGTGAAGCATATCTAGGGACGAACTGTCCAACACAATACGTGGGGTGTGAACCGGGTAAGTAGGGGCAGGTATGGCGGATGCCACCTTGATGACTTCCCATGTCTCTCTAGCTAGACTTGGTCAGCCTCTTATAGAATTTTGCATTTCTGCCTGTGTCAACATTAGTGGGGGCGTCTTGTTGATACAATAATGTAAATAGCCGATATTACTTCCTGTCGTCTCCCTACTGTCCGGATAGGATGACCCAGAGATCCCCAACAGGATCATACAGCCTTTCATCAGATACTGCAGCTGTGATACCTTGACCTACTGGCTGGGCGCACTCTACGGCTACAAGGGACTACTGCTTATTTTCGGTACCTTCCTGGCCTGGGAGACAAGAAAGGTATTTACAGACTGTCTGTCAGCATGGGACAATTGATCAGAAACAAAACCTGCCCGTTCTCAAGTTAGTCAGTCATTTTGTTAGAAATGCCTCAAAAGAAAGGCATTTTAAAGTGTTTGTGTTTACGTATCTAGCAAGGGTGCTACACTAAACAATTGCAAACAAGAGAACAAAAACAATAGCTGTTTCGGCATAATGTGCCAGAACGGGTAAAACACTTCCCAGCGCAAATCCATCCTTGAAATACAGTGTAGTTGCTCGCAGTTGCCGCTGCTACATCTGATTCGAACCAGCCAGCTGACACCGGCAAGCTCGGTGCTCGAGTGGTTAAGACGACTGCACTGGTAAGCAGGAGGTCGTGGGTTCGAGTCTCACCCGAGTACGCTTGTGGTTTTTTCACAGGCCTTCTGGGGCATACACTGTACACTGAGCAATACAGTGTTAAAATACTCGTCGGGCAGGGACAAAATCCAAAATTAAATTAATTTACAATTCCCCGGCGCAAATCCATCCTTGAAATAAAACACTCTCTCGCACAGACCGAAGCCGGCAGTTCGGTTAAGAAGTTTAGTCTTCAATTAGGTGTTACATAATGATGCGTTGCAACACAAACTTGTAAATTACAGTCAATTTAGCAGAGTCTGATTTTACTGCGAATTTACGGTAGCCCTACCAAAGTTTTTTCAACATTTTGTAAAGATCTTATTTCGTCGCATTTGATGTTATAAATTATGGTGTGATTATCTGGAGGGAATAGCCTCGTTTATACTGATGATCCTCATACGCACTTGCTCAGCAACCCGGGATCAGGAAATCTAATTTGCCGTCCAGTTACAGGGTCTGTTTAATTTGGGCCCATATTTGTTGCTGTGTATAGGCCTATGAAGAAATAAAGCCAGGTAGCTGTGACTAGGTTTTACATACTATTCAACTTGGCACAGATATGTCGTAGCTTTTATCTAATACTGACAATTTCAAATATCCGGCCGTGATAATGAAAATTATCACACCCTTTTTTGAACGCACACCCTTTTTTGAATTTAGATTACAACGAGATTGTTGAGGGGTACCATTTTATAAGCGTTGAATGTTTGAGTGGTCCTTGTCCGCAGGTGTCTATTCCAGGACTTAACGACAGCAAGCTGATAGGTGTGAGTGTATACAATGTGGTCATCCTGTGTGTGATCGGTGCCGCGGTTAGCACCGTCATCAACAGTAACCCGGAAGCCCTCTTCGTCTTTGTCTCTTGTATCATTCTCTTCTGCACCAGCATCACGCTGATCGTAGTCTTTGTCCCCAAGGTAAGTTGATCAGCAGATAGGCGACAGGTGGCCAGGGGTGC